GTTTGGCCTCCAAAACGAGCCACACTAGAGACGCACTAGACCAACACGGAAGGAAAATTGGAGCTGGACACACTTTAATCTAGTTAGTTTGATTTCGCGCATCCCATAACAAGTGCCATATACGGGGACTTGGCGGCACATTTAGACACATACCCAGGTCGTGGCAGTCACTTGCGCCAGTTCCCGCATAAGTTTGCCGACCAGCTAGGACTGGCGGTCCACACTGTGGAATCCTATCCCAAGACATCCTCCAGAGCATTCCTCTTTATAACGACGCGCTAAAGTCGTAGGTCCAAAGACTGTCAACTTACAGAATAACATGATTCTATCAGGACTGATAATCAGGTTGTAATTATTCATTCTTAAACTGGTCCTTGTAGCGCAGGGCTATGCATACCGGGGCCAGATCGATACATGATATGACTGAGGGGTCATCTGTCAGGTTTCGGTGCGTCTTGCCTCAAGCATGAATGATTATTTCGGCGGCTGCGAATTTAAATTAATGACTCGTTGCGAATAGAAGGGCAGTCGCCTGTGATAATTCATCACCTCATCGCACAGTCAGCTTCTGTTTGTGTGCGTCATCCCAGTGGGCGTTCGGCCTGACACAAGATAAGTACGCTACAGAAAACTACTAAAAATCAAGAAGTAATAAAAACCGAGTAACTGCCCCCTGGTTGACCAGCAATCGGACTGCTTTCGTGAGAATTAACTCGGGGGGTTGAACACAGGAATTGGTATCCTAGTATTGCAGGTGTATTTGTGCTACGTTCTCGTGCTTTCATCTCAACACTAAACCTAACTCTGGTCATCCAGGAATTCAGCGTAAGGCGACCTGTAAAACGGAGGGGGTACCTATTCCTGCGTCCCACCACTGAGTGGCAAGAGCTCACACTATTCAGCTGGAAACAATTATCAGAGTGCTCTTTTAGCGGCCCTACTTCGAGCGACTGTCGCTAATTTGGGCTCCCCAAAGATACACGCAGGCGCACAGTAATCCAAGCTAGCCAATTAACTTCGAAGCCGAATCAGACATTCCCTTGATCAAAGCGCTGTGACGACACGTTCAGTCTCATGACACTGGACGTGAGCCCTCGTCCGGCTTCCAATTCTGTCCAATCTCTTCTCCAATACTGATGCACAGAATAAAATACTTCCCGCGTTTATTAACGCTCGCCGGTCGCTAACGGAACTCACCCGTCCCGTTTCGCCTCGGGACCTATTCTCAAGTCTCGCCAGCAGGCGCAGAGCGGCTAGTAGGGTGAGCACATGGACATCACCGTCAATGTTCAATATCCCCGATCTAAGCCGACAAGACGACGGGCCAGTGGCTCAATGTTTAGAACGTTGGGCTTCTGATCAACAGGCCATGGGTTCGAGCCTCGTTTGGTACACCGCCTATGGTTGGGTATGACTGGCTGATGAGCCACAAATGGCCATTGCAGCTTCCTTTGGCTTTTCCGGTGAACTTCATCTGTCTACATTACTAGCCGTCCTGTGGCTGCTGGCGGGGATTGAGATTGAGCCCCACGGTATGACGGAACGAGTGAGTTCCGTTGAAGATCAGTGAGCGTTCATCAACGAATGTCAATATGCCCGATCTAAACCGGTAAGACGACGAGCTCGTGGCCCAATCAGATGCTGTAAAACTCCAGGCCGTTGGAACTTCCTTTTAGCCTATCGTTTGGAACAATGATGGACTTCTTCACTTGCGGCGGCCAGACTATTCGACTTGTAGTGTCTTCTTTTGTGCTACGTTCTCGGTGTTAATCATCAATGTTTCAGGTGATCTACAGTTGTATCAAACGATAAATTCACTGTCAAACAAAAGCTCTTGTGGATGCCACCACTTCTTCCAATTAAAATATTATCAAGGCTTGGACAGAGGAGATCTCATACAACTACCACTAAGCTGAATGCGTACTCCTAGGCACGGCAAGTCACTGATGATGATCGATAGAGGCAAATTCAGCCTTTTACCGTTAAAAACTGTTCAAGGTATTGATAACAGGAATTAATCTTCCCTGTCGTGGTTGGCTGCCATTACTGCTTTGAGAACTTTGGGCCAAATATCCGACTTCATACCGCAGAATAAAAAGAGAAGAACGAATGAGCTGACGAAAACAACCAGAGCAGTGCAAGACAATAACTCTTGCCTGTTAAGCACTGATTAGTGTCCTCTTATCTGCCAACCGACGTGTCTCGTCTTACTTTTATCAACTTGACTCCGACTCCAGTTTGGATATAGCTAATTAGTTTTCCTCTGCCGTTAAACGTTATCCGGGAAAGGTTTATGTCTTGCAGTTGCATCATAGTAAGGACCGACCGCTCAGTTATGGTGGAAAGACATTAATCTCAAGGCAACAGTCGCGTCTGGAACAGAAAATAACAGAAAAGGCAGATCGATAGTAGGCTTAAAGGAAACCAATTGATTCGAAAAAATGCCTATCACATAAAACTGAGGGCAAAATTTATTCTTGTAAAAAGTCCAAAGGTGAAGAAAAATATGACACCAGAACCGAAGTCATGCCAAAAGCATCAGAAATCAGAGGACGTCCAGGCCTCTTTTCGGATGAACAAAACTGTTAACGAACGTGAAAGCCGATGACAACAAATAAATGCACTTGGGAAAGTCAACCTGACAAGGAGCGATCGTGAAGGGAGGGGGGGTGGAAATA